TTACGCCTGCCGAAGCGCCACTACAATTCTACCGCAGTAGCCGGGTAATAAGGCGCTACTGTTGCGATTTTGTACACCTGTCTCCGTTCCAACTATCCCTACACACCGTAGGTAGCGATCGGTGAACTTGCCTTAAGGCTTGCCGTAGGTTGACTCCAACTCAACCACCCGTGCCTGAGCGAGCGTTTTCACGATGGACGACACTGGAGAGGGCACATGTACTCAGATGTATGCTACGGTCGTTCTGCAGCCACTGGTCCGGATGAGAGGTTTTGTGCTAGACTAATATCTACTGTTGGACAGTTGGCAATTTGGTGTGCTCTACCTCACGTCCGAAAGAGAGTCTCTTTGTCCCGAATTAACAGAGTAGGGTGACCGGAGTTTCGGGACAGTCTGTATATGTAGTCATGGCAACTGGCGCTGAAATTGGAATTGTACCTATTTCACCGTAGTTCCACTGTAATTCCATCCGTCGTCCACACATGAGTACAATTCCTTTGGAATCACCGGTGACTTCGCCCTTTCCCATGTTCTAGACGGCAATCTTCTTTGGACAGTGTGCTGTGAGTAGCGCTTACGTTTGTCACATTGGCACCACCGACTGTCTCGATGAGCTTAAGGTGTAAGAACACGATAGTGTGAACGCGGATTATGGGATCAACACGCTTGCACGTCGCTGAACTTGTGGCAGCTTCCATTCGCTTGACGTATCACGTAAAACGTTGCGTATAGATGGGAGGTTAGTGTGTTCTCCTTTCATTTGAAGACATTGGTTGGCCAAGTTAGAAAATTGATCAATGTTGACGCGTAGTTGTGTGCAAACGCAAATATTTCAGGTTTGGATATTTTGCGTTTATGATCGTTATGCAGTTACGATTTTGTTGCTTTATTTCAGTAAAAGTGGTTTACTTAATGCACCCAATTACTTTCCCACTTGCTGTTATTATAATCTGTTTGACTGTTTATCAGTGGGCAGTCTAAAGCTTCCATATATTTGCACTGTTTCACAAGTTGTGTGAATTTTTAGTAAAGTACCGTTAATGAAGAGAGTGAAGGAAAGCGGTGCGGCATTTTGTAAGCAGAAGAGGGCCAGAGAAAAGTAGATAAATAAGAATGAAGGCGGGTTGTTAAAATGCATCGGTAGTACCTCCATTGAAAGTAACACACACGAAAGCAGTTGATCATACTGAGGCAGAAGATGCAGTTGCTACTACAAAGCTTGATACCCGGTCAACAAAAAGCTGAATTGACAGCATTGATGCAGAGAAATGTCTGCAATGACGATGCAGATGTACGCGAATTTAAAGAATTGAAAAGCCAACCACTACCTGGCACGATAACAGGCACATCAACTGATTTTACTGATGTTGGTCCGTGGCTTGCTAAGATTGATCATGAAATGCGGCTGTGCTTGTTCGGCTTGGATTTACTGCTGTGCAGCATCTCGATCGTGAATTTAAAGATTGAGCGGCGTGGAACAAATACGAAAAGCGAAGCTAGGAAACATACAAAGAACTGGTTTTTTGGGAATTGCGAAACGGCGAGAAGAGATTGTGAACTTTCATGGTGTATTCTCCGTCTAAGGTGTCCCTGCCTTGCTTCTGCTACAGACTGTTTTCAACGTGACAGTCTAGTTTTTCGACTGATGAGGGTTTCAATAATTGGTGGAAATTAAATCCGAAAGTGCATGAGCACGAATCTAGTAAAGTGCATGTTCAGGCGTTCGTCAACTGGAAGGAACTTGAGGTCCGGTTGATTGAAGGAAAGCCAATTAACAAACTGGAGCAAGCATTAGTAGAAAAGGAAACAAAGAGGTGGCATAAAATTCTAACCAGATTAATGGATTTCGTCAGGTTTCTCCTCAACCGGAGCATGACATTGGGGGTTCTCCGAGAATATATCTAGGATGATAATAGAGGGCTGGAAAATAGAGGAATATTTTTTAGAATCTGTTGGCCAAACATGACCTTGTTCTCCGTGAACATTTGATGACAGTTCAGCTGGAAACAAAAATCAGCACTTCGTATTTATCTCCGGACGTCCAAAATGAATTTGTGAGTATTGTGGCGAAGCAGATAAGAAAGAAAATCATAGATCAGGTCAAGGAAAGCAAGTATTTTTGCTTAATGTTTGATAACATTCCGGATGTTTCCCACAAAAAGCAGATGAGCGGGGTGTTGCGTTAGAGATCGATGAAACTGAAGTGATAGCTGAGGAGACGTTTCTCTGCTTCATTGAGATCAACAGCAAAAATGCAAAAGACATTTCTAGGCTGATTCTAAAGAAACTAGCGAGAGAGGGAATTCAGTGCTGTCGTGTCCAAGGGATTGACAAGATTACTGTTACGGCGGACTACCGATCGGATGTCCAGAGACGCATCTGTGAAATAAATCCAAAAAGCTACTTTTGGACCATGCACGAACCACTTTCTCTTAATCTGGCTTGTGTACATGCAGCTTCTGCGACAGTTCATTCTGCTACCTTTTTTGGTACAATGGACTGACTGTTTTCGTTTGTTGCTCCATCTACATACCGCTGGAACATCTTGATTCAAGTGACCGGTCAAGTGGTCTGTAGAAACTAGGTAGATCAGTCAAGGAGACGTCGTAAAGGTTGTGATGAAGTAGTGCATGGAAATCGTCAATGCTCTGAAACAGCTCAGTGAAGAAAGAGAAAATTTGGACACAAGGTCAGACGCCTCAGTAATCCTAATCTCGGTATAATCCTCTCCGTTTACTTCACTTCTGAGTCTTTGGGGTTCTGTTCTCCCGGAGATCAGTGGTGCCCCGCAGTATCTTCAAACCTAAAGACTGGATCTGCAGCAAAGTTCTGTTAAGCTCACAGCGTCAAGGAAGTGCCTTCAGAACAGAGAGATGGTGGATAATGCAATGAATACATCTAGAACACTGTGCTCTGGATTGGGGATAAACATGAAGCGTCGAATTCGTAAGAAAAAGCGAATGGATAGGGAAGAGTTGCTTGACTCATCAATGGAATTTGATGTCGAATTGAGGCACGAAATCCTATCTGTCATTGACAGATTGACTGAAGAAATATGTCGTAGATTGCAGCAAGTTCATGCGCTTGCTAACAAATACGCTTTCTTGACACTGTGAAATCTGATTGATGAGAATCATTACTGTTCACTTAACGAAGTTGATGAGGATATAGAAAAAGGCGTTCCATGCCGAACGGAGCAGATTGCAGTATTTCGTGAGAGCTTCAGGAAACGACAACATCAATGGACCGTTTCAACGTTTGATATCACCTTGGCGAATCTGCACCGAATATTGTGATCTTGTTGCGCATCTTTCTTACTTGTGATGTTAGCACTGTCAGCTCTGAGCGTTCTTTCTCCACACTCATGCTAATAGAAAACTAGCTTCGATCCGCAATCAGCCAGATAAGGCTGACGGACTTGGCTATTCCCTCCCTAGAAACAAAGCTGGTCGATGGATTGAATTTTGATAATATTCTGGATATTTTTGCTGCCAGTAAAGCAGGAAAAGTACATTTGTGAATTACGTATATAAAGTTCCTCGTTTGTTTGTTTCTTGAAACAATGGAGTAAATAGTTACTCAAGTTATTGTGGGTTTACAGAGTAACTTATGCTAGAGAATGGAGGCGGCAAATTTAGTTACCGCCCCGGACAACGATGGTTCTTGCTACGCCACTGAGGTGTATTATACGTTTAGCATACGCCTTTGATCGTTGAAGGCATAAACGGAAGCGACGCTGCTTGGCAACCTCCATAGAGTTTCAAAGTCGAACCAGTCACATGCGGCTGTTCCCTGGAATATAGGAGATTGTCTTCAGTGCGTTTGCTGAGAGTGATACCGAACCCAAAAATCCTTAAGCCATTGACTCAGTATAATCAGCGACGCGAAAATTGTAGGCATTATTGGAAGATTCAGAACCAGAAAGTCGAAAATTCGTTATGGCAGTTCTAGCTTATATTCGTTTTATGAAGACCCAGCGTCCTACAACACCAAGAGCGTGGGGAGTGATAGTTAGTGAAGTATGTTGGCCTATGTGAGCCAAAGTGAGGGTGTACGAAGAACCAAAGGGAAATAAGGCTGGTGGTTTGATGGACTAGTTTCAAGTATCTATGACAGCGGCAGCTAGGTCAGCGACAGTTTCTTGCTCAATATATGGCGGATAAGAGTTGAGAGAGGAGAACAACCAGGAGAAAAAGAAGAAGCAAGAGTATTGTCTAGAGGCTAGACGATACTCTTCGGTTGCTTAATTCCAGAGAAGACCATTATTCGATGTACCCCACCGCTAGTCTTTAACTCAAAAGTCTGATCTGTGAGACAGCGGAATATGTGGAGGTTCGCTTGACCTACTCCACCTGGTCTCTTTTGCTCAATTGTTTGCTATGCAGGGCCGTAGGGAGCAAGTCCAGCAATAGGATCGCTTGACGCCTGTCACACACAGCCCTTGAAGCTTTAGAGCAACACACTTACGTTTTTCGAGCATAGTATGTAACGCACCAGCAACCACAGTCAGCCGCAGGTGGGAGTTGGTGGGTTTGCATCCATTTGACTACATGCTATCTGGTTTGAACGAGCGGTAGTGAACTAACGAGGGCCGGATAGTGCTTTTCTAACTTCAGAGATAATGACCTGCACGCGTGTACTACCTCAGTCGATCTATGAGCTTAAAACCCGTCACCTCTTGTCTCTCATGACTGACTTTTAAGGGAAGAGTGCCACTGACTCCTCGTTAACCTCCATAGGTGGTGTTGATGCTGAGTTGATCCGACCTCTAAACTCCGACCTGTCTGGCATTAGTGGCTCTGAATACACTTGGAAACTGCAACCCAGCGTAGCTTAATGGCCATAGAGGTAGGAAATCCATTGCACCAGATGAAGGTTTCAGCTTCCTCGCCATGGTGTCGGCAGAAATCAAATGTGCGGAGCAGCAAGCTTCAGTGAGCTAGAACCACTTGGTTTTGGGTACTTTGTCCCTATATGCGTACACAGGCGTAAGTACTAACCTTTCTGAACGGGTACTTCGAACTCGGGAATACGAATGTTGTGGTAACCGCCGTAGAGTTCGTCAACTTTGGTGGCGAATGGACCGATCACAGCTATACGCTTCAGTGGTGGCTTGTGGACCTTTCCGTACACCGGTTGAAGGGGGAAGATACCAGGCCGATGATGCACTAGCACTATGGAACTTGCAACGGCAACCACTGCCAGTTTACGATGTCGATCGCTTTGAACAAACTGTGGGAAATAGGGGTGTGACAGGCGGGAGATGGTAAGATTTCAATGAAGCGGCGGAGCGTTCAAATCAGGCTTATTTAGGCGGAGGTAATCATTACATGAAAGTTACCAATTAATGACGACAGCTAGCAACTTTGTAAGTGACGTACTTATGTACCTAATGCTTTACTTGTTACTTCGGAGACTGCGGAACAACAAACATTGGGGAATTGCGCAATGAATCACAGGGATGAATAAACGAGACGGTTTCCAAGCCAGCATGAATACTCCGATGACGCAGATATCACAAACTGGTGGATAGAATCCATGGTGACAAAAAGATGAGGTTATACATGAACGTTGGAGCAACGGATTTATCACGGATATAAAAGTACATGCCTAACAGTTCTCCCTAGGTAATATGTGTGAACAGAAATGGATGTCTTAAAAGAAAATCACCTAGCGGTGGACTTACCGCAAATCGTAATTATACACATTGTTTGGTTACCTTGTTGCGCGTCCTAGTAACATGTATTAAATCAAGTGACGCAGGTGAATTAATGTAGCAGCTAGTCGACTTTTGAATTCGGACAAGATAGGAGCAGATATGACAAATGTGGAGGTAAGTTTTATGGCTGGAATACATGAAATGAGAAGAAGTCCTGCGGCATTTCAACCGGTTATACTGTGTCGCCAACTTCAGCTGGAGGCCACCCCGTGAGATGTTGAGGCTGAGTCTCAATATCGTTCGGCATGGGTGGTTAGGTTAAAAAGTTAAGTCAGAAATGCACAATCAAAGGGTTTAGGCCTCTGCTTCTAGACTCAGGGTTGAAAAACACACCGCAATATGGCGTTGGCTTGACGGTGACCGTTTGCTGGATTGCTCTATGGTGCAAATATCTGCCAACTCACGTATTGCCAGAAGCAGCATACCTCGGGTTCGCACGGAGGGTGTTGAAGTTTGTCCAAGTTACAGTAACCTGGTTTGTTGAAGCAGTAAGACCCAATATAGCGGCTTATGTTTGTAAGCGAACTGGCACATATCATCAGCAGAAATCGATGTGAAATATCATTGAATAAATGATTTTTAGGAGACCATCAACAGCGCAGGTTTGCATTCAACCGAATGACAACTGTGCGATTATCTTCTAGGAGCCGGTATTATTCTGGTCAGTTTTCACGTCTCAGGGATGACACCGGTGTTGAAACATCTGTTGAAAACCTAAGTTAGAGGCAAGGTGTGTGTGAAACGGCACACTTCTTTTATAACTGGGAATGCGAAAGTATTCGGACCGTTAGCTTAGTTTAACTTTAGTCTTTTAAGTTCTATGTGAGCATCGCTCTGATCACACGGGGCAAAGGGGATGTACTTGATGAAGACGAGCGAAACACAGTGTTGAGTATGTCCACAACCATTGTGTAGCTCTGGCTTCAGGGGCTTTTACCACAGAACTGCATCAAGAAC